AGAATCAAAACAAACATTGCGTAGTACTAGAATTTCGACTAGAATGGGATACGTTAATCGTTTGCTTGGGACCAATAGGCTAGTCAAGTAGTGAGCCAATTTAAAATCGTTAGTTTCGTATTGATTGTTGTTAATACCATGTAGCCAAACTACCAGGGAGGGGAACAGTTTAAAGAGACGTTAATAGACGGAAGCACGCAAGCATGTAGCCAAAAATATTCCCATTTAGCGGTCAACGTCAACAGTAAGGTAAATATAACGTAATTTCCACTTCAGTTGGAAGCGGTTATCACGTAATGGTTACGTGATTTTGAAATGATATTTACTGGAAAATACTGTTCATCTTACGTTTACGTTCCGTGGAATGGAATGGATTTGCACGTCAATCACGTCAATTTATTTTGAAGTGATCTTTACCGGATCTAACAAATACTGTTTTCCATTTTGTCCAAGAAAAGAATTTAAAAAAAATTCCTTTTTTTTAATAACGTCAAGTATGTCAAGATCGGTCGGCTGAAGAACAACAAAGCAACTGGTGTAGATCAACTACCAAGTGAGCTATTAAAATGCGGTGGTGAAGTACTGGCTAGAGCGCTGCACTGGGTAATTGCCAAGATTTGGGAGGAGGAGATATTACCTGAGGAGTGGATGGAAGGTGTCGTATGCCAAATCTACAAAAAGGGTGACAAGTTGGATTGCTGCAACTACCGCTTGATCACACTGCTGAGCGCCGCCTACAAGGTACGCTCCCAAATTCTATGCCGCCGCCTGTCACCAGTTGCAAGAGAGTTCGCGGGGCAATACCAGGTGGAATTCATGGGTGCCCGCGCTACCACGGACCAGGTTCTGCAGAAATGCCGCGAATACAACGTGCCCACACATCATTTGTTCATCGATTTCAAATCCGCATACGACACAATCGATTGAGATCAGTTATGGTAGATTACGCACGAGTACGGATTTCCGGATAAACTGACGCGATTGGTCAAGGCGACGATGGATCGAGTGATGTGCGTTGTTCGAGTATCGGGGACACTCTCGATTCCCTTTGAATCTCGAAGGGGGTTACGGCAAGGTGCTGGACTTTCGTGTCTGCTATTCAACATCGCGTTAGAAGGTGTGATCAGAAGAGCTGGGATAGACACGAGTGGCACGATCTTCAGGAAGTCATGGCTCGGAACTTTGAGACGATGGCGGGAACGTACAATCAGACTGAAGGCTGAAGCTAGGCGGATTGGACTTGCCATCAACGCATCAAAGACAAAATACATGAAAGGAAGAGGTTCTAGGGAAGACAATGTTAGCCTCGCACCCCGAGTTCAGATTGACGGTGACGAAATCGAGGTGGTCGATGAGTTCGTGTATTTGGTGGTGACCGCCGAAAATGATACCAGCAGAGAAATTCAAAGACGCATTATGGCAGGGAGTCGTGCCTACTTTGGACTCCGGAGGACGCTCCGGTCGAATAAAATTCGCCGCCGCACGAAGTTGACTGTCTACAAGACGCTGATTAGACCGGTGGTCCTCTACGGCCACGCGACCTGGACTATACTCGTGGAGGACCAACGCGCCCTTGGTGTTTTCGAACGGAAGGTGTTGCGTACCATCTACGGATGACGGAACGTGGAGGAGGCGAATGAAACACGAATTGCACCAGCTGCTGGGAGAACCATCCATCGTCCACATTGCAAAAATTGGGCGACTACGGTGGGCTTGGTACGTCGTAAGAATGCCGCACGACGACCCAGTGAAAAGGGTTCTAACCCAACAGGAATAAGAAGAAGAGACGTGCAGCGGGCAAGGTGGATCGACCAAGTAGAAGGCGACCTGCGGACCCTTCGCAGACTACGAGAATGGCGAAGTGTGGCCATGGATCGAGTAGAGTGGAAACGACTACTTCGGATAACTTTTCCAACACTTAATTGATCATGACAATTCAGATCTCGATTCACTGTTCACTGCCGAGTCTAAAGTCTACTACCATCATGTAAACATGAAAGTTGAAGCATTCGAATGAGCTACGTGATTTTTCACGTAGATTGGACGTGTATACTTTGTAGAGTGTACATGATTATCACTTACTTTTTACGTGAAATTCCCTTAGCATCAACGAAATGAAAATCACGTAAATTTTATTAAAATTTAATTTGACATGGACGTGAGCCACGTGGAAATGATCGAAGTGAGAGTGTTAATGAGGTTACGTGATTATTCACGTAGCATTAACGTGAAGATTTTTTTAGAGTGTATGAACTCACCAGAGAGGGATCGGGGAGAAGCATTCGGATGAATAACAACATCCCTGTTGTTTTTTTTTCTTAGAGCTTTATTTTTCGATATTTTCCTTTTTCTGTTGTGTTGTGTTTGCTTGCATGCTGCAGTTTTGTTTGATGATGGATTTTTCTTCGTTAATGTATATTTATTAATTCACTATTGTGGCATTTTTTGCTCTTCGTCTTCTTTCTGTCCACTCAGAATTCAATTGTTTCATTAACTTACGCCATTATGTCTGTAGAGAATGAGAATGCTGTTTGTTTCTCCCATGTGTTTAATCTCTTCCTTTTCGAATTTTATTTTATAGTAGTGTTTTGTGTTGTTGTTGTTGTTCTGTGTGAATTCTTTTCATTTTCTTCCGATTATAGCATTTTTTCCATGTACATAGATTTTTTTTTGTAATTATTTCCCGTTGTTTCTACTCTCTCAAATAGTAAAACTTAAAACAAAAAATAAAACCATTTTGTTTTCGCGCGCGCAAAATACTTTCGTTTGTTGAGATGTTGGTTGTGTGAGCTTGTGTTGTTTTTTTTTTGTATGTTGGTATGAGAAATTTGATTTTACTGCTTTTCGTGATGAACTGCTAAGCTTCTTTTTTAACCGAAAATGTTCCGCTTTTACTTTATTTCAACAAACAAAAACAGAAAACCGAACAATGAAGAGGAAACAAAAATCTTCGTTTTCGATTGTTTGCACGTTCTGAAACCGATTGAATTGTGTGACGGAGGACAACAAATTAAACCGATCCTGGATCTGGGAAACAAACGAGAAGAATGTTAAGAAAATGTCGAGATTCTACTAAAAGGTAAAATTTGGAAGTTTGTCTACTACTCGTTCTTTATTTTGTGTCTGTGTGGATGCTTCAATTGAGTAATTCACTTACTAGCGTTTTTTTTATGTCTGTACTTGTTGGATTCGGTTGCTTGCTTTGATAATTAGTGTTCTTTAAGTAGTTTTGCATGGGTCTCTTTATTCAATTTAATTTATCTTTAAATTTATACCTCTACTCATAATAATCAATAGGTTTTTTTCTTGTTTTCTTTAATAATTATTATTCTGTTATTTTTACCGCCTTAAATTTAATTCGGAAATTGATACGTCGGATGTTCGCTATCTCTTGTGTTTGGTATTAATGAATGGAAATAGGAACGAAACTCATAAAATGCGGGAAACAGTAGGTATACATACATACGGGGGAAACGAAGAAGGCTTTTTATACTATTTGTGAATTGATGATCGTGTGATGGTTGGGGACATCAAGTATAGTAGGCTATGTGAGAAAAACACACGTAAATACAGGATTAGTAGCAATTAAAAAGCTGCATCCAATTGGCTACTACTAGAAACATTTCCTTTTTGTGTTGCTTCATTTACGATTTTCTGCTGATTAAAACATAGCTTGCTTTTGTTTAGTAGAGATGTGATCATTCATTATATCTGCCTGCTGTTGTTTCGTCATCAGTTGGTGTGTAATTCATCATGAATTTCATCCGCTTGGTTCAGCTTCAGCAAGAGTGAGGGTGTGTTTTATGTTCTTGTGAGTGTTCATAAATGCAATGATTTTGTTTCATTTTTATTAACTAGTCTATTCAATTACGTTTTTGCAATTTCATCGAAAAATCGCTTCTTTTGGATTTTAATCAGTGTAGAAAATTCGTTCGCACTTTTTCCTAGCTTAGATGTTTTCGAAGGAAATCGCTCCATCCAGGGTAGGAAACGTTTGACCGATCTAATCCGTTCGCATTATACTTCCCAGCTTTCAAGTTGTTATGTGAAATGTTTGTGCTCCTTTTTACCGCGCTTCCTTCGGAACGGAGAAACCGGAGAAGAGATTCCTACCCCGGAGAGGTGGCAAATTCCATCACACTCATTTCCCTGCTTTGGTTATCGTTATGTTCATGCTCTATTTCGGCTTCTGAAAGGTTCAAAGAAATGGCATTACACAGAAGCAGGAAAGAACCAAGAGCTGGATAAAATGAGGGGGGATGGGGATCAAACAGTGTTGTGCGAGAAGTGGAAAATTAGTCACAAACCTGATTGGAAGTGGTGTTGTATTCATTCCGAACTGGATCTCTTAATACACCTAGCGATAAAGTTAGTATAGAACAGCGGAGTTTTGCCTGCACTTTTAAAGTACAAGCTATAAATAATTCCCCACCAATGGGGGGAGCGAATGACAACGCAAATGACCGACAGTAAGAGCAGGTCGCGGGTGTAACCAGAATTCAGGATTTCACGTAATACACAAACAATAGAATTTGCGACGAGCCGGTCCCCTTCTTATTCGTTCCACACTCACTAGCAGTACAGAATACTCTTGGGAATTAGAAATCGGAATACTGACGATACTTACAACGAGACTCTTACACCGAACCGGCCCCGGGTCGCTTTTCCTCAAACATTTTCACACAATAGGAATGTTTTCGATTCGCTACTCTCCTTCGGGATCATTCTGGTTTACTCGCCCGCTCCATGCTTCGGAATCGCAAGACGAATTCAATAGAAATTGGGAAGCGACACTCCTCGTTAGATAGCTAGTATTTATACTTATTTTCTTCTTTCTTCTGCTTCTAATTTCCTTCCTTTGCTGCTCTCTTTTTTATACCTTTAATTTAATGTCCATTTTTTATTCTTTTTTTCGGATTTTTATTACTCCTTTTTATTTTTTATTAATATATATTGACAAAAACAATACACATTTAATGGATGATGATTTTCTGTTTCTCTTTTTACACCACTCAGCTGAATTTGTTTTTTTTTTGTTTAGCTTTTTACTAGTAGTAGTTGTAGTAATCAATATGCTCTAATACGCTGCTTTTTTTTACTTTTGATGTAGTAGTAGTAAGTATTTATGTGTTTGTGTAGTTGTGTGCAAGTGTGTATCCAATTTGAACTTTTGCTCATCTCAATCCAACTGTTCCAGATGTTTGCCAAAGAGGATGAGTGACGGGGTTAGACGTTCTCGTTCTTCTTAATGCTGCTGTGTTTTCTAAGAAACTGTTTTACTGCATCGAAATATTTTTTTTTTCCCATTCGAGGATAATCTGTAAGTAAGATTTCGACATTGTTCTGCTTTTGTTTCACTCTCTCGCTCTTCGCGCTTTTGTTCTCTCTCCGGTTTTGTGGTGTGACTTGCCGCGTTGTGTCCTGTTTCCTCTGTTGTGTTGTGTCGGGGTGTGTGTGTATGTAGTATTTTTCTTCCTTTTTTTCTTTGTTGTTGTTTTCTTATGTATAGCTTATTTAATAATGCTTAATCTTATTTTCTTTAATTAATAAAATAAATTCACACATAAAACGAGTCGTGTAACAAATTACGACACGTCCTGGTCTTCGACGTCCTGAACAACTTGTTCCCTCTGTTCACCGCCGTCACCTGTAAGTAGGACAAAGATGAAGGATTTTAGAACGTTGCCTTACTTTGGCAGTTGTGGAGAATGGTATGGATAAATGGATGATTATTGGAGGATCTAGCATAAGAGAGGAGCAGAACTTGTAAACCGTAAATCAATGTCTTTCAAATGGCAGGGCTGGTAGCGATCAGTGCTGTCAAAAATAGTGATTTTAGTGACCATGTTGTAGAAATAAGTGACCAAATAGTGACTTATAGTTGTAAAAATAGTAACTAAAAAGTGACCTAAGAGAAAATAAATGTTTGATGTTTTAGACTTACTCAACAAGTATCTCATAAACACTTATGTACGATATGAACCTTTAAAACGGAAGATTCAATAGAATGTTTATGTCCAAACCCACGGTATTAGTCAGGGTGTCTACTAACTGCAAAAACCTGGTAAACCTGGAATCCTAAGGAAATTTTATGTTTCCTTAAAATACCTGGAAGGCCCAGAGAATTCAATAATTTTCTTACTAAGGTCATTTAAAGAACAAAATTAATTTTAAAATACAAGCATTTAATGTTTCTCGTAATTTAAATTCGCACTTTGAACTTTATAGATCCACAGTGAACTAATATTCAGTAACAAATAAATTAAAAAAAAAACAGAGCCTTTTTTTTTTTGGAACATGCATATTTTCTAGAAATTTTAAATTTGAACTAGTTCTCGACTTGAAAGCTATAATACTTCAAGAAATTTTCAAGAATCTGGAGTAAAAATCCATGCACAGTTTTAAAAGCTCGTGGAATTTTATTATAAGTACCAAGGACCTCATTTCAAGAACGTTCTGGGAAAAAATCTTTCAGAAAAACTTCAAATGCACTCTGCTTTTAAGGTAGTCTTGTGAAACCTGAAAGTTTTGAGTAAAGTTTCAAGAAACCCTGAATTGAATTAAAAGCAAATTTTAATGAAAACTCTGAAAATTTCTGAGGAGCACAATCCTTCAGAGCAAAATTCCAAGGGCCTACTGAGGATAATTTTATAAAGTTGGGGAAGAAAACTAATCCGGAGCATAAGTCCTTGGATTTTTTTTGAAAATACTTAAAGGAGGATTACAATTAAATTTGAGAATAACTCCTGAACATCTTCAAAGGAATTCGGAAAATAAATTCAGGAGGTTTTGCTAAACAAATTATGAGAAGAAATCTAAGGAATTTGAGAGGAGAAATGCCACTGGAGACTTTTAATGTGAGTAGAATTCCAAGGGAAGGAGTGAGATTCATAAGGGATTATGAAATGAATTCAATGGATATTCGGAGAATTTTTCCAAAGGCTTTTTTATTGTGGAGAATTTTAGGGTTATTCCAAGGAAAATTAAAAGAAAATTGAATTAGCAGGATAGCTTTATTGAAATGTTGAGGAATATTTCAATGGAAATCAGAAGTACTTGATAGTTACCAAATTTTTCCCGAAGTTAATGAAACTGCCTTGAAGTTCTTTTGTAGTTTGAGAAACAAGCCGGATGCTCACAATACTTCTCATCAAATTCTTAAACTTCCCTGAGCTTTATAGGACTTTCTAAAGTTTCCTCAATGTTTCTAACGTTGCCTTGAAGTGTCGACAATTTTCCTTAAGTATTATAACCATTATAAACGCTCACTTATTTTCCCTGAACTTATCTATGGTTACATGAACTTCTCTAAATTTGTTTAAGGGGGTATTCCCAATCTTTTGCCTTTTTTCGGCCTGTTTTTCAATTAATTTTTTTTTCAAGGAAAATGAATAGTAATGCGCCTAACTCTTTGGGATTCTTGTTTATTGAACATTAAAGTTTACAAATAAATTTTTTTCGACATAAAAAAAGACATTATTGACGTCACAAAATGGCGGCAAACAGACCCCTGTTCGCCGCAAACGCCTGGACGGGCGAAGACTTTTCTCTGGAACGGCTTCATCTGAAACAGATTTCGTGATGAAATTAATAATCTGATAAGATTCTCTGGAGCTTCTCCCGTTGGCAGCAAAAAATCTTGAAAATTAACAAAATGGCGGCCATATGAAAAAACAGGCGATTTTTAGCCCGCTTTTTTGCAGCTTTAAGGTGCTTCAAACAATGTTAAATGTTAATATTTTTGGCTGAAAGTGGGAGAAGCTCCAAAGAATTTAATAAGGAACAAAATGCGCAAAGATTCAAGTCAATATCTCTTATAGTTTCTGAGAAAAATCTTCGCCCGATAAAAAAAATGTGGTTTCGAGAAAAACGCGTTTAAAGTTTTGACTTTAGTTAAAACCATTTGGGGGTTCTTACCATTAGTCAGCTATGCCTGGACACCGAATTCGCTGATCGGAAAACGGCTTGGGGGGATGAAAGTATATAGTCTAAAGTACAAAAAAACGTGAAAAAAAAAATTTGATTTTTTGAAAAAAAAGATCGGGAATACCCCCTTAATAATCCGGAAAATTTTCTGATATATATTCATAATTTCCTGACGCTTCTGACGTTTTCGGATCAATCATAGAATTCATGAAATTTTAGATCTTAGACTTGCTCAAATATTTTTTTACCTGAGAAATTAAGTAAGTGTTAAACTACAACATTCAATGGATTTGTTTGCAAAGCTGTTTCTTGAAAAATGATTGCCATGTCTTTAAAAAGTTTGGGTAAATTGTTGTTGTTTTTGATCCACCAAAAAAGAATATTTTTAACGCATTTAAAAAATAGCTTTCTTATTATAAACCTGGAATTAATCCGTTAACTGGAAAAATTTGAAAAACTCAGGTAATTCTATTTAGAAAAATAAGTAGATACCCAGTAAAGGGTGATACGGTCAAAATTTGGTCAATATCAACTTGACGTATTTCTTTCAATTTTGCATTTAAAAAACCTGAACACCCCTCATTTTGAAGGTGTGTGTGTGTAGAATGTTGCTCCTATTTTGATTTTGGAATTCACTCTTCAGTTGTCAAAATGCCGTCCAAGCAAGAAGAGCAGCGTATCAAAATTTTGCTCGCGCATCGCGAAAATCCGAGCTACTCGCACGCAAAGTTGGCAAAATCGCTAAAAGTTGCCAAATCAACCGTTACAAATGTAATTAAAGTGTTTGGGGAACGTTTGTCGACAGCCAGGAAGTCTGGATCGGGGGGAAATCGAAAACCGGAAGCCGCTGAGACGACAAAGAGAGTTGCCGGTAGTTTCAAGCGAAACCCTAACCTCTCTCTACGAGATGCCGCAAATAAGCTGGGTGTATCGTCTACAACCGTGCATCGAGCCAAAAAACGAGCCGGACTATCGACTTACAAGAAGGTAGTGACTCCAAATCGCGATGATAAACAAAATACGACGGCCAAAGCGCGATCCCGGAGGCTGTACACGACGATGCTGACGAAGTTTGACTGCGTGGTAATGGACGACGAAACCTACGTCAAAGCCGACTACAAGCAGCTTCCGGGACAGGAGTTTTATGCGGCAAAAGGAAGGGGAAAGGTAGCAGATGTTTTCAAGCACATGAAACTGTCAAAGTTCGCAAAGAAATATCTGGTTTGGCAAGCCATCTGTACCTGTGGCTTGAAAAGCAGCATTTTCATAGCTTCCGGGACTGTCAACCAAGAAATTTACGTGAAAGAGTGTTTGAATAAACGTCTGCTGCCTTTCCTGAAGAAACACGGTTGTTCCGTACTGTTTTGGCCGGATTTGGCATCTTGCCATTACGAAAAAAATGCCATGGAGTGGTACGCCGCCAACAACGTGCAGGTGGTTCCCAAGGACAAGAACCCTCCCAACACGCCAGAGCTCCGCTCCGGCTATTGTCAAGCGGAACCTAAAGAAGACCAAAAAAACTGCTAAGGGCGAGCAGCAGTTCAAGGCAAACTGGCTTTCTACGGCGAAGAAGGTGGACAAGGTGGCTGTACAAAATCTGATGGCAGGGGTCAAGCGTAAGGCCCGGCAATTCGGATTTGGAAAAGCGGAAGCCTAACTGAATATTTTTCCTGAATTTTATACTAATTGAACTTGAAAAAGAAATTTAATTTGATTTTTTAAATAAACGATTTCACCGATTTACACGCGTTTTCCCTTGACCAAATTTTGACCGTATCACCGTTTAGATAGATGGATCAATCTTGAAATAAATTCACGCTAAAAAAGTTGAAAATAGTGACTGATTACAAGAAAAAGATTTGGCCTTAAAAAAAGAGACTTTTTAGTGACTGGCTTGAAAAAAGTGACCAAGTCACTAAAAAGTGACTCGCTCCAAGCCCTGAAATGGGAATTACAAGTACAAGTCCTTGTAGTTTCAGTATGCAATTTTAATTGAGGGGATTAGTAGGAAAGAGGTGTAAGAGACTTCGATCGATTCATCGACTTTCTCTTTTGACAGCCACAGCTTTATAAACAGATTTTGTGCTATTTCTGCCACATAGTTTGGTAAAGGATGTTCTCATTTAGCATCCAGAATGACACACGAATCAAGGAATGTGTTTGCAGCTGAATTATCAACGAAAGAGAATCGATCACAGTCACTTACACCCCTTTCCTTCTAACCCCCTCAATTCTAACAACAGCGTGGCCACTGGATTTGTAGAAATTAAATTCCCGGTCTTTTCCCGGGTGCCCACGTATTTTGTTTGTATAATAGAACCCATACAATTAATCGAAGCCATAAACCCTGCGCTTCGGTCAGAGAGCGTATAGGGCGTCGTTGTGCCAATTTGGTCGTGGCACATTTCGAGTATGAGAGAGTAATTGCAGTTTGATCAAAAGTGCCTGAGAAAAATGCAAGTACTTTCGCAGATTACCCGAAGTTGTGATAGTGAAGGTATGATCATCAAAATCAATTTTTAACGGTTAATTTAAATGTTTCTTAGTTGGTAGTACTGCCACTTGTGGTGCACATAATCAATTATCTAGCGTTTGACGGTTACACACTCCAACTATCTTTTGAGTGTATTGCCCATCAAAGTATATACGACAGATGGTGGTAGGGTTTACAATGATAAATATTCAATGTGTTGTGTCTGCTTGTCTGTGATATAACATTGA